TTGTTTAAAACCCGAGAACGATTGACTCGCGAGGAGCAGGCTGGTTTTCGTTCTGGTCGAGGATGCATTGATCACATCTTCACCCTCCGCCAAATGTTAGAACACCGTCATACTTATCGCAGGCCAACAATCGTAGTGTTTCTTGATATCAGGGCTGCCTTCGATTCGTTGGACAGGACTGTTCTCTGGGATTGTCTATTGAAGAAGGGTGTGCCTGAGAAGTTCATTAACATCTTAAAGGCCCTGTATACGAACACCTCAGGCAGAGTGAGGGCATACAACCACCTTTCTCCCATGTTCCATTCGAGCAGTGGGGTTAGGCAGGGTTGCCCGATCTCCCCATTCCTCTTCAACTTTGCCATCGACGACATCCTGGAAACAGCTCTGATGGATGTAAGTAATGGCGGTGTGGATATGTTGCCTGGAGAACGACTTCTCGACCTTGAGTATGCGGATGATATTGTCTTACTGTGCGATAATGCCCAAGGCATGCAATCAGCACTTAATCAGTTGGCAATCAGTGTCCGCAGGTACGGCATGTGCTTTGCACCCTCCAAGTGCAAAGTACTCCTACAAGACTGGCAGGATTCTCATCCTGTACTCACCCTGGATGGTGAGGAGATCGAAGTAGTTGAGAAGTTCGTGTATCTAGGTAGCTATATAAGTGCTGGTGGTGGCGTGAGTGATGAGATTGATGCACGTATAATGAAAGCCAGAGCGGCTTATGCCAATCTGGGCCATCTTTGGCGCCTTCGTGATGTTAGTCTGGCTGTAAAAGGTCGGATCTACAACGCGTCGGTGAGAGCAGTTTTGCTCTATGCTTGTGAAACCTGGCCTCTCCGAGTTGAGGATGTTAGACGTCTCTCTGTGTTCGATCATCGTTGTCTCCGAAGGATTGCTGACATCCAGTGGCAACACCATGTTAGTAATGCAGAGGTTCGGCATCGTGTGTTCGGGCGCAGAGACGATTATTCAATTGGTGTCACCATCTTGAAACACCGACTTCGGTGGCTCGGACACGTTTTACGAATGTCGTCCCAGAGACTTCCGCGTCGTGCATTATTTGCCGACCCTGGGACTGGTTGGAGAAAGCGGAGAGGAGGTCAGTGTATGACATGGTGTCGTGGCATGAAAGAAAGCTGCAAAGGGCTAGCTTCTGTTGGACCTTCACGACTCCCTGGTTGGGGTCCGAGAGATAGTGCAACACAGTGGCTAGAGACGTTATCGGATATGGCTCAGAATAGAAGCCAGTGGCGATCCTGCTGCAACCTTCTTTTACTTTCTACATAAAGAATGGTTCTAACTTTCCTAACTGAAAGAATCTTCTGGTTGTACATTTCAGCCCGCCTTATCTTTTCATCCTTTATCTACCTACTTTCATTATTTTGTGTGGCGCATATGTACCTGGTGCCCTTTTGTACCAATATATATGTGTTTAAATAAATAAATAAATAAATATAAAATTCTAATACATGTAACGCTATCGCAGACTTATACTCAATTTTCCATATGTCAACGGTGGTTTCCGGAACATTTTTCGAACACTGTTTGTGTTCCTTCAACCTTATATTCAATTGTCTGGATGTTTCTCTCACAGAAGCTGTGTTACAATCATGACAATTGATGTCATAGACAATATTTTGTTGTTCTTCCTTTGGTACCCTATCCTTAACTTTCACTAATACCAACCTTATTGTGTCACATGACCGAAAATACACTCCTTTATCATGCTTGTTTAGAATCCGCTTGATTTCTTCCGACGGTATGGTATGACTACGACGGACTTCCAATCTTTTCGAACACATTCTAGTTTGGTTTTTCTTTCATGTTTAATAATCTTCTTTAAAAACTCCTTTGGGTTGTTGTTATCCCTAAGTGTACACAAAATCTTATTCAATTCAGATTGTTGGTCTTCTTTATCTGTAACAAGCTTTCAAATAATCCCTCTAAACTTGTATTAGAATGGGAGATATAAAATCCCATTAGTTATCATTGAATCAATTAGCTCTGTTATCTGTGGTATCTACTAATAAACTGTAGTTACCACTTCTTATTGCTTTCTGATATCAAACACCATTGGGACTTATATAATAACGTTTATCAAGGTGATTGATTAACGGAGCGAAGCCACTACAATATATATTGTAAGGGCAGTGAAATGTGTCTAAGCCCCAGCGAAATCATCAGGGAGTTGGGTCACTGAATATCGAACAGATCATCGATCCCTGGTAAAGTCAAGGACAACAAAACGCGCATCAGTTAATCATACGTGATGGACTGGCTCATGCGGTGGTGGTCTCATTAAAATCTCAGTACTCATTCTTACCAATACATTTACGTAATCATGCTCTCTGTGTTACACATTCTTCAAAGCAGACATAGTACTTTAATACGTCGAATGGGGTAATGCACGTTAGATGCTGACTGTAAGGTGTGACTTCGAAGTTAGCTTGTTCATTACACCTTTCCCGTCTAATTCTAGTAGGCCTCCAATCATTCGATATAGATCATCAACGTCGATGATCTACAATATTATTTTGTTACAATATTCGGGAAAGTGTGTATGAGACAAACTTGTATTAGAAGTGAAGACATAAAATCCGATCATTCATAATTGGACCTACTAAAATACCTAGTAATAAACTAATATTATGTGTATACATTCAAGTATTTTCATAGTTGAAGGCATGAGTCAATTGAAGCTAGACCACCATCGAAAACCTGGAAGCACTGGAAGGCCGTTTTGTCTTATTGTAGGACTCCTCAGCAATGCTCATCCACGACCTCGCCTATCGAGGAAGTAGTTATTAAGCTGGTTCTTTCTTTACATAATATATGAAAACAAATTTATTATTACAGCTCTTGTTATCTTAGTTTCAAAGCAGATGAGTTTAATACGAAAGTTAGTAATAAATTAACAATTATGGATATTGTTATATCCTAGCGAAGACATAAGTACGGATAACTTCCAGGACCTACATGTATTCTCATTGTTTAACTATTGAGTAATTAGATTGTGTATATCTATATTCATTTTATTATAAGCTTCATCTTGACCTATGGAATGTTATTATACGGATTACTGTCCCTAAATTATGTTGAGTTGATTATTGTATCCCACGTTCACAACCACATCTGGCTTGATCCTTTAAAAGTATTATTTTCAATTTTATGGTGTGATACGGTTTGTCTGTTTGGTATATAAACCGAGTATGTTTTGAAATAGATGATTCGCATAGCAGAAGCTGTAATTAGTGTTCTGGACTCAGTTGGAAGGGTTAGGAGAACAAGGAACCAATAAAGATGATAAACTTCCCATATCGGTTGAAGGTCATTGATTTGGAACAATGCTATGATTAGAAAAGTCGTATTTCGATTGGTGAATAAATCACATAATAAAAGCCGGACATAAAATCATAACGAATTGGCATATGTCCTATTTTTTTATAAAGTCATAACATTATCAGATTAACTGGTACTTTACACTGGCTATAGAGATACAATAATTGGCAATCATATTTTAAGTATACAAAATATCTGCCTTATAAAATTACCCTAATTGATGTAATCACAACTATTAATTTAAAGGTGTGATATGTTTAATAAATCATAGAATGTTTATAGCTTCCTGATGAATAATTCTTTACCATTGCATATTCATATTTGAACGTTTTGTTTATTATTTTTAACTTCAACAGAGTGTTTTATTCAAGTAAACCAAAAGAACTACTCAATATCTTGATAGGGGTTCGACTAGTTTCAATTATGAAATATATGATATAAAATTCATCTACTCATTTGTTTTAAGTAGCCTATCAGATTAAGCCTAAAAATAACTATCAAAACAATTAATGAGATTCAGGGTACAACAATCGTTTTTCTTTTACTACCTCCTTTGGGGATATACACTTGTACATTCTACATTGTCATTGTTGAAACAATCTCTGGGATTATTTGAAAATCAAAGAAACCAGGTTTCAGGTCTTTTAACGATTTGCTAAAATCATGCATTTAGACAATTTTCACAAATTTAGTTGATTAAAAGTCCTTTGAATGGTAAAGTAGTGATTGAAAGTTTAAACACCATATGCGTTCCAAATTCTTACTAACACCAAAACTCGAGACTTAGATAGACAATAGTTGCTGGTGATTACTTTTCTCTTACTATCTTTTCACATACGTCAAACATATAAATCAATAAATTTATGTCCTTATTCCTACGACTTTCAGTCTCATTAACCAATAACTGGGGTAAAACTACAATTGACAGATCATGTACTGAAGCACTGAATTACTGAACTAGATGTTAACTGTTTGAAGAGCTTTATTACTAAAATTCTCTTTCTGCTACTGTAGAAGATTATCCTATTTTTTAAGACTATTTAACAGTACAAACCCACTAGATCTTATCAAATTAAACCCAAGGTATTCAAATACTACCCGGTTGCCCAAACTGAAGCAGGTGATTTACTTAGGAGGCCATACCAGGAGCCTTTGACCTAAAGGTCTGATCCACAAGGCAGTGTAGCATCATGAGAAGATGCAGTTCTATGGTAGCTGGTGACCAACGATTGATTCATACGCCATTTGTTCCTTCAGGATACTGGAGTCCATGAGCACCATTGGTTTGGAATCAGTGTTATCCAACTCTCCGTTTCCACCAACCCGGTTAAAGCGTCAGACAATCGCTTTTCGTCCTCTCAGCAACAGTGATGCCACGAGAAGGCAGTGAGTAGGACTTCCCTGTCAGAGGCTATATACGCGTGACCATATGAGAGCATTTAGAGAAGGCTAACCGACTATACCCAGTCTCAGTCGTACCAAGGCATTTGGAAGCAATAAAACTCTTACCTTTTCAATCACATCACAATTACATAAAACAAAAACAAACAAAAAAAATCAATAATTTGTTTATTTATAATAAAACAATTCAATGTAAACTAAACCGGATAACTTTGAATGAACAAACTTGAAAAAAAAAGGATTAAATGTTTATAAGATTAATCTTGATCTATCATAGACCAATCTTCTAAATCAGCTAATTTATATCCTTTAATTAATGGATAATTATCAATTTTAATTTGATTATCATTAGTTTTAGATATATAAGATCTTTTTGATTGAATAGGAAGACTTTTACGTGAAAGAAATTTAATTGGTGGTCCTGTCGGGGTCGGCTTTTCATGATGTGGGCATAATAGAATGGAATGATCTATATTAGTAATAGTTTGAGTAATATCTGTTATTGATTGATTGAACACTTTAGAATTGTTGTTTAATTCAGTTTGTTTTATTGATTGTTTAGTGTTTTTCTTTATTGAATGATTAGGGATTTGTGAACTAGCCTGGATATTGTTTAAAAAAAAAAGGAGAGAAAAGAAATAGGAATGAAAATAAAGGAAATGTCTAACTGTTAGATCCTATCGAATTCATACTGAATCACAAGTACTAAATGGATAAATGATGAAATTAAATTTAGTGATCTAGTGGTTAAGCGCTTGGACACGTGATGGATAGGTCTTGGGTTCGAATCTCGTGAAGCGGGATCGTCGATGCGCACTGCTCAGGAGACCCAGAGTAGGACGAAACGGCCATCCAGTATTTCCAGGTTTTCCATGGTGGTCTAGCTTCAATTGATTCATGAATTCAACGATAAAATTACTAAAATCTCCACAAACCCTATTCTGAAATTAAATTCATTTGGTGTTGTCTGCTTATATCTTCTCATTGTTGTTTAGGACTGTAATCGATCAGTCTCTTATTGGTATATGTTCATCTTATGCGGATTGACTTCATATTGTCTTAAGTCACAGGTGCATACATAAGTACATTCGCCCTGAAAGTTGGAAGGTCTTTGTATAGAAGAGTTATGATGCCTAATAGTGAAAGCATTGATTCTTTTAATTAATATAGGTATGTGGGAAGTTTAGATAATATGAAAGACCAGAAGAGTCGTGCAAATAATCCCAGAGTGAAGAGATATAATCTGCTCAGGTTTGGAATCAGTCTTACTTCTTTAACATAATCTGGACAGAAAAGATTAACTTCAGGAGAACTGTCATTAAATTAAACATTCTGTTGATGATAGCTCAAAATAGAAAAAAACAACAACATGGAATCCTAGGTATAGTCAGCTGTTGACAAAATTAAACACCCAGTTATATGAAAAGGGTCCAAATAAGATAATCAAGAAATGCGTTAGATTTCAGACTGAATTCTCCACAAAACTCCTTGTGACTTTTATCATTGCCATGATTGAACTTAATATTTTCAAATAAATTAAGCATTGCGTAGAAAGTTATATCCTAATTAGTAGAAAAATTCTATTTCTGACATTCAGTGACTTAATGTAAGTCACTTCTTCAGAGTAAATAAATAACTGAAATTAAGTGAACACAAGTTTAAATAATACAAAGGAAAGCAATGCAGAATATTTCCTTTGTACTATGTAAACTTAGTACGGAGCTGAAACGTGGAGAACTACTACATCCATCGTCAAGAAGGTACAAGTATTTATAAACAGTTGTCTACGCAAAATAATCAACATTTACTGGCCAGGTACTATCACCAACAGCGTTTTATGGGAGATGACAAATCAGTAGGTTCCAGCTGAAAAGGAAATTAGGAAACGACGTTGGAATTGGATCGGACATACACTGAGGAAATCGCCAAACTACATCAGGAGGCAATCCCTAACTTGGAATGGTGAAGGGAAGCGTAAAAGAGGAAGGTCAGAGAACACTTTATGTCGGGAAATAGAAGCAGATATGAAAAGAATGAATTTTAATTGTAAAGAACTGGAAAGGATTGCTTGTGACAGGGTTAGATGGAGAATCTTGGTGAATGGCCTATACTCCTCCACGAGGGGTAACAGGCGTAACTTCTAAACTTCTATCTAAACCTATGTTCATTTATAATTTCAGTTATTTATTTACTCTGAAGAAGTGACTTGAATTAAGTGACGAAACATTAGTAATGCAATCTTTTTATTCATTGGGATGTAACAAAAGATATACATATTTATTATATTAACATATTGTTAGAAACAGAAACTACAATTTAAAACAATTTCATTCATTTACATTTTGTTCAATAACATTATCTAATTCATTGACTTCAATTGGAATATTTTGTATAGTTAATTGTTGATTAGTCAATGATACATCTGTCTTGTTACTAACTGGAATCAATGGAAGATTAACAGTAGAATTGATAATGGACTCATTATTATTACTATTATCATTAGTAGTAGTAGTAGTATTAGTAGTATTAGTAGTAGTAGTAGTAGTAATGGTAGTGGTAGTGGTAGTGGTAGTTGTAGTTGTAGTTGTAGTAGTAGTGTCAGTATTATTACTATTGATCGAATTCGAATTCCCAGTTTGTCTTGGATCTGTCGTAGAATGTTGTTGTTGTTGCTGCTGTTGTTGCTGTTGTTGTTGCTGACTGGTTACCATAGTATCTTGTTCAACATCATTATTTTTTTGTTTTAATGTATCATTAATTAGATTAAATAAAGAAGGATTTTTAAAAAAATCATTTTTTCTTAATGTAGAATAATCAAAATTATTTAATATAATTCTTTGAGGTTTTGGTGTAATTTGTGCATATGGTATATAAATTTGTCCAGACCGATCTATAAGCCAATCACCAATATCATATACAGTACGAATTGTATTATTAGTAAATTTCTGAAACTTGTTATGAAAAAAATTAAAAAGAAAAGAAAAGAAAATGGTGTTATGTTGCGATAAGAATATTGAATGGTAAGTTTGGGATCCATTTGTGAACTAATACTATACATATGGTAAATGGTTGCTCATCTTCGTGGATTGGTCAAAGTTAGACATGAACACCGTTGGATACCGTCCAGCTCAGTAGTCTAATGGTTAAGAGACTGGTAGGTATTGAGTTCGAATCTCGCGAGGTGGGATCGTGGATGCGCACTGCTGAAGAATACCACAATAGGACGAAACAGCCGTCTAGTGCTTCCAAGTTTTCCATGGTGGTCTAGTTTCAATTGACTCATAATCTCAACTATATAAAAATGTACTGTAAAGCATTTATGTCTAATCACTTTTTGATTAGAGAATTAGTAATTCAATTATTGAATTGATTTAGTTCTCTTACTTTGGGATTATTCAGAATATGATCAAACAAACATAATATCAGTTGTTCTCCAACCTAGGGAATTCTTTACATTATGTGCTTAAGTTGAATTTAATGAATGAAACATTGAAACTATTTATTCAATTACAATTATGGACATCGTACCATTGATGTTTAGGACTGCAACTGATCAGTCTCTTATTGGCATATATGCATGCTGTGCGCATTGCCTCGATAATGCCCTAATTCACAAGCATTATAAGCAAAGATAGATAGTGGCTAGCAGTGGAATTCAGGGCACGCGTTTCATCCTATTTTGGGACCCGTCAGCTGGATATGCCTGAATCTGAGTTGATGTTCACCTCGGGACTCGAACCCAGTACCTTTAGCTTCAAACACCATTTCGTTATCCACTCAGCTACTAATTCCTGATAGCCACTTGCTTGTGCAATGGAGTGAAGTATAAATTCACTTGATATGCAGGTGATACCTGCTGACGAGTCCAAAATTGGACAAAATACGCATCCTATATTCCACTGCTAGCAATTATCCCTCTTTACTTACAATGCTTGTGAATTAAGGCTATATCGAGGCAATATGCACAGTATGCACATATGCCAATAAGAGACTGACCAGTTGCAGTCCTAAACATCAATGTGAAGATTCAAACAAAAAATACTAATTTAAACAGAAAAAGTGTTTACTGTCGTTTCTTTTCTTTTCTCATGATCACTTGGTTGACTATTTGTAGTTGTATAAACAGAATTATGAACTTCATCGTAAATGAATTCCATGGATGAACCATTATTATTATTACTATTAGGATTCATTAATGAATTATGCATTGGATGCTTGGAATAAAATGAATTTTGTGATAAACCTGGATATTGTTGCGTATATTGTAATTGATTTTGGCGTAGAGTAGGATAATTAGCAATAGGTGATGATGGAATAGAATTTGATTTATGATAAACAAATGGTGAAGGATTACTATGCATCATTGTCATCATGTTAATTGGTTCATTCCATTGATCATTTGTAGTTGCAATCGTTGTAGCTACTGTGGTAGGTGATTTAACGGTAACTTTGGGCGTTTCCGGTGGACTAACATGTTGAATATAATTTAACCTTGTTTTTGGTGTTAATTTTCTAGGTTGATCTATACAGAGTAGTAGATCAAGACAGTTATTTCTTGAATGACCGACATGAAGACTTTCTTGAAAAAAAAGTCAAAAATGATATAGTCAATAGTAGTTGATAGATGAGTGATAAACAATATTGTATTTTTCAGCGAGACTACAATATACGAACGAACCAATCAGATTTAAGGTAACAGGTCCTGGATTTCGGCACGAAATTCATTTATCCATTTGGCTAAGTAGTGTTTAGCTGATGTCGATTCGTAACAAAAATTCTAAATCGAGTTCCTATACCTAACCATCAACCCTAAATTATAATCCTAATTCCTCACATAGGTTTATAATCCTTAATTAACACTAGTAAGTAAATAGACACTTCAAGGTCATTTTAGCGTCGCTTAAAGGTCGTTCATAAACTATATACTCACCTATTTCTCTAGTACTTAATTCAGTCTAAGAACTAGTTGAACTACTTCCAAATGGTGGAACACTACTCCTACTTTTATTTGGTTGGTGTCAAACAACAGAAAAACATGTCTGTCGTGAGTGTTTTTAGTCTTATAGACCATTATCACCAGAGAAATCAAAACTTACCTCGCACTCTATTTTGCTGACAAGTGTTCACCAGTATAAAACTTATGACAACCAGAGCTTCCTGGCAATGCCCTTAAGTCGACTAACATCAGTTTGCAAAAATACCGGGAAAATGTTAACTTAATGTTTGAATCAGGAAAGGTCAGTAAATGAGTTGGGTGGATTGTGGTTAGGCAAAAACCAGTCGCAATATCTACGAAATGAATTCCCGACGTTCCGTTCAACATCCAACAAGGGTGTTGAGTTAAATTCGAACAGAATCAAGTCGAGAATGTAGATCAATAAATACCAATTCACTAGTTCTGAAGTAATATGCTTTTAATGAACCTCGAGGGTCCTGAGTCCCATTCCTGGACCGGAATTTTTCATAATGCTAACTTAATGCGAAGTTTTGAAAACTTCCCAGCTTATATCATCCAGCTGAGAGGCAAAGCGAAGATGCAGTATAAAGTAAATGGTTAGCTACAGTTCTATTTCTTCTGTACCCGGGATCAGAAGGACATAACTTACTAGTTTGAAGGAGTTTTAGGAACTTATAGCATCTATAAATGTAATAACTGAGAAACACCACTCTACCACTTATTGGCATTAGATGCGTCAATGAAGGTGATGCGAGTAGCCTATGAATTTGTAGCTTGAGAGACATCTAACGTTATCGGAAGGTTTTTGGCCTTTTTTGGTGATAGTGTTTTGTCTGGTATATCGTTTAAAAGCTTCATTAGTGACAATAGCCCTGCCAAAAGCAATGTTATTAGCCCAAAGTTCTAGGCTGCCCATTATATTTTATGCAGAGTTCACATTATATGGAATGTTATGTGGCGAGTAAAGAAAACATTACTTGATCATTATGTCTTTAGAATGTGCCAACAAGTACGTCTCAATTGTTTCTGGAATTAAAGTACACGGTATGACATGACATCGACATGATAACCATAGGAATAAATGGACCATCTGAAGTCCAGAAACCCAACGAGGAGCCCGATAATGTTTACAATGAGGTTTATCCGGGTTGCCAACAATTTCAACAACCGGCCGATGACATGGATTCTGGCGATTGGGCTTTGCGTTTACGATGCAGTGCGCTTAGTCATTTTGTCCATGACAATAAAGAGCTACTGAGCATAGAATCCCATGGTAATGATGCTTGATGGACAAACCCGTGAGTAGTGTACATATTCATTTTTATATACTTATATGAACTTGTTTTGTCATCTAAACTGAATAAAATGATTATTCTTATGTGTTTGTTAACATTTTATTTATACTTTTTTGCATTGGGATGAATGTGGTTTCATCTTAGTGCCTTCCTTTTTTATTTCAGATCAGTTGAGGATTTCCAAGAGAGCGAGAAACGGTCCTCTTTAAAGCAACCTTACAAAGTGATTTAACGGTCTCCCATTTTGTTTGAAGCTAAAGAAAGTAAAAGTTCTATTACAAATTCATTATGTACAATTATTTACAATATTAGATTCATTACAACTGTACTACTAAACATAAAGTTTCCATTGTCCTTCGTCAATTTTCTTTTTAGGATTTCAACCAACAGGTTAGTAGAAAACTTATTGGTTAAATATAATCAAAGATGGATAGTGGCTAGCAGTGGAATCCAGGACACGCTTTTCGTTCTATTTGGGACTCGTCAGCTGGATGCACCTACATCGGAAAAAGGGTGGTAGGGGATCATACATGCCGTGAAATTAATGTCAACCATTGTTCAGCCAATAATATATACATTAACTTACTTAAATAATTTTTCATAGTATAACATCGTATAAAAAAGAATATGTTGAAAGCAATTGAAACACCAGCAAGTCCAATAATTAACTGTATCAGATTAGGTGAGATATCTGTGAGTAAAAAAAGTAAACAAGATTCTCTATTATCAGAAGGGGGCTTTGTGGAGATTTTGGTAATTTTATATAATTGAAATCATAAGTCAATTGAGGCTAGACCACCATGGAAAACCTGGAAGCACTGGACAGCCGTTTTGTCCTATCGTGGGACTCCACAGCAATGAGGATCCACGATCCCGCCTCGCGAGATTCGAACCCATGACCTACCAGTCTCGCACGCGAGCATTTAACCGACAGTCCACTGAGCCGGCATCCGATGGTGTTAATGTCTAACTTCAACCAATTCACGAAATCGAGAAACCATTCACCAATGTCTTCAGTGGGTTGATATCTCTCAACAGACATGGTCGAACTCCACTTGTTACTGCTTCTCAATGGAACTCCAGGAAATACCTCATGGTATAATCATATGAGTTATGAATTTGCCTATTCGATACGCTTAAGACTACTCATCTGATTTTTTGATGTTTTGATTTAAGCTTCAGACGCGTTAGAGTTTCCATGATCTATTGATTATGTTACAAATACACTAATACACTTAGTGTAGTTATTGTTTGTGGTGTAGAAGAAGGATAAAAGTGAATATATGTGTTTCTATTATCAGAAATAGTTAACGGTTGATACTTTCGAGGAGTTTATAAGTCGAGTGAAACAAATACTCCTGAGTAGCTGAGTTTTTAACATTTACTCAACAAATTGCTGTTTAAAATAAAGTCTTCTGATAGAATGGATCAACGTTCTGAGATCCGATAGTCGATTAGTGGATAAAACTTTATTCGGCTAATCTCTTTTAAATAAAATCTTAGTAAACAATTGTGAACAACTTTACTTAGTATTGTTTGTTTGGATTATCCCCTTGATGTTTTTAGTACTGTAACTGGTCAGTCTCTGATTGGCATATGTGCATACTGTGCGTATTGCCTCGATATAGCCTTAATACACAAGCATGGTAAGCAAAGATGGATAGTGGCTAGGAAAGGACGGAACGAGCGTCCTGGATTCCACTGCTAGCCACTATCCATCTTTGCTTACCATAGTTGTGAACAACGTTTTGAAACATATCAAAAGTGTTAAATGAAATGAAATTACAAACCTAACATTAGCTGATATAGAGTAATCTTCTGGAAGCCTTGGAACTATATGTGATACTAGCTAGCACTCATCAGTCAGTCGAATTCAGGACCTTCAGGGAATTAATATTTCCCTTGGGATTTAAACCCGCGTCATCCACCATCGCAGTCAAAGAGAATACCATTAAGTTATTTGGATGGCAGCTGGACTCAATTATGATTAAGGGATCCACAATATCTAAACACTGAATAATAACCAATGTTATGTTGTCTACCAAGTGAAATTTGTTTTCAATCACTGAAATTTAACTCAATACATGTAACTGCTATTAAATATGGGCAAATGATTATTCTACGAGGAATAATTAGGTATAGTTCCATTGTGTAATTATTGAACGATCGGTTAATGATGTTTATACATCGTCCCAATTATGAATCTTTATTTACCTCACTAACTGTTGATCTATGCTTATCAGTTTCGCAATTTTCATACTTAATCCTATGAATCTAAAGGGACAATAATGAAAGGTTTATCGGCTTTCTATGTTCATCTTCTGACTGGATATTGAGGAACGAGTGAGCTCGTTGAACCATTTGTAGGGCCAGTGAAATGTCACTCAATCCTAGCCAAAGCATCCGGCAGTTGGGTCACTAAATATCGAACAGGTCATCGATCATCGTCAAGGTCAAGGACAATCAACGCGCATCAGTTAATCATACACCATGGACTGGCCTATGCGGCAGTGGTTTTACTTTCACTTGTATCTACTTTAACTAATATATTCCTGTAATAACGTCCTTTGTGTTGTACAGTCTTCAGAGCATACATGGTCCCTTGATGCGTCGATGGGGCAATCCACGTAAGGTTCTGATCTCGAGGTGTAACTTCGAAGTTAGCTTGTTCGTTACACCGTTCCCGTCTAGGCCCCCAATCATTCAACATAGATCATCAACGTTGATGGTCTACACATTAAATTAAGAATTTCATCTTCTTTGTTGTCGTTTGATTGTATTATTGATCAAAGTGAACGTCATTGATCTGATAGGCATAAAGCTAACTTGTAATAAGTGGACTTCATAATCATGGATTCGATCAAGCGACAACATAAGAAATATGAACTCATAAAACAAATCGCCTCCTTCTATTTCCCAGAACTTACGTATTGGAGTTGTAATATCTATAACTGTTTCATATTTGTTGACTGTTTTCATATTTGTTAGATTACTTTTATGAATTGTGGTGGTTAACTTTTGTTGAATATTGTAGGAATCCAATTCGACGGAATTAGATCGTTTTCCACGAAATGTACACCACCATTGTCCTTTCTCATTAATAGCATTTAAATGTATTAAATATTCAATTTGTATATGATCATTTGCCATAGATCGATAAATGCATTTAGGAATAGCTAGTGTTACAGCATGATTACAAATTGTCGACGCTTTTGACCATCATTACAATAAGAATAAGTAAGGATAAGAAAAGACAGAAGTTGAAAATTCGAACGTTATTAAGGATATATGAGAAAATGAAAACTAGTGTGTTGAAAGCAATCAACAAAATGCTCTGGACCAAGGTTCTGTAAGATTAACACATTTCAGCAAAGAGTATCAGCAATCATGAGGAACCTGGTGTTGAATCACACATCATCAAGAATCACTTTATGAGACTAATACCACTTGGTTATTTTAGCCACGACTAGCCTGAATAAGGTCTAATGTTATGTGGTCGAAAAAGAACAAAGGAAATCCTTGGCCTAAGCTTTGAACTAGTTGTCATTCATTACCAAGATGTATCTTGAACCTTGGGGGAACCGATTCTTCTTGTGAGATTCCAGCCACAATATGAGATATTACAGGTGAGCTTTGCAGTTCGTGACTGACTTGTAAGACTAAAGTATTTACAATTGATTGATTACTGAGTGGTGAACACTGTTTGTCTAGTCGTTTTTAGCGATGATCGTGTTCTATCGATCAATTAACAATGTGGCCACCAATCGAAGTGACTCGACATTAACAAAAGTCTTCCGAAAGATCTAAAACCAATTACAATGCACTTCTTAGCAATAATTACATATTATGCGGTTGAAATAATTTGGTCAGAGATGATAAATAAATAAACAGATTTCTCCAACGTGGCAACTGAGATGCATGTATTAGTCAATCATTAAGGGAATCAAGCAGTCAGCCTGTTTTGAGCGATAATGTACTACAAAAGTCTCATGCATTTTAACAAGACCAAAACAAAATCATTTCGATAAGAAGCAGTAAATGAATCAGCTACTCCGAAGGATTTTCATTCTAGAAAGGATCGGCTTAACGTAGAAAATGCCAATCAAAAATTTATAAAATATGATTAATATTTGAATTTATGAGTCGATGAAAGCTACACCACCATGGAGAACCTTGAAGCACTGGACGGCTGTTTTGTCCAAATTGCGGGGTCATGGATGCACACTGCTGAGTCATCCTAGGCCCCGAAATGCCCTGGTATGGCTGAGAGTCCCCTCTCCCTCTCGAAATGCTCTCACATGACCACGCGTATATAGCCTCTGCCAGGAAAGTCCTACTCACTGCCTTCTAGTGGCATTACTAAGGGCGGCCTGCTTAAACATCTGGGCTACCTGTTTCCCGTCATCTATATATTTCAACAAGTTATCTAATATTGTTTGTTTTAATACATCATTATGGCTATTAAGCATACAACCTATTCCGGTGCGTTTCTGAAAACTGTACAACCTTTCGCTGTAATGGTTACAAAAGGCCCAATCAGAAATATCGTGTTTGCTGGGAACATGCAGCAAAAAGAATATACATTATTCATATGTCGATTGACTGAACTGATGACATCCAACTGGCGATCACTGAATATTTATCATCAGGAGCAACGAAGAAATAAGAAACGTAAACATGTTGAAATACTTTATGCTGATAATTTGATTTTGTACCAAATAATATAATATTGAATAAAGGTAATAATAATAATAATTATTATTATTATTATTATTGCTTACGAAATTGAGAGGACGAAAAGTGAATGTTTGACGCTTTAATCGGGTTGGTGGATACGGAAAATCCATCTAGAGGAGTTGGAAAACCCCGATTGAAACCAATGGTGTACATGGACTCCAGTATTCTCATGGAATAAACGTTGTATGAATCAATCATTGATCACCGTCTACCATGGGACTGCATCTTCTCACGTTGCTCCACTGCTTTGTGAATCAGATGTTTAGGTCAAAGGCTTCGGGTGTGGCTCCCTAAGAAAACCACCTGCTTCGGTTTGGACACCAGGGCAGTATTCCAACCCTCACACAAATCAAACGAGATTTGTTTGGCGCATATGTATCTGGTACCTCTTTATACCAATATTTATAAGTTTAAATAAATAAGTTTGCTAACAGCACAAAAATATAAATCTCCACAAATTTTAAGACATTTAATAAGATCATATTTAAACTGGATGACCAATTAAACTTCAAATCAATCACTGCCTTAGGATTCTCAAGAAACTTGACCTTCTAAAATTATAGTGGTCAGAGGAACTACTAAGAAGCTAAAGAATGATGGATGATTGGATATAGTTTCAGGTTATCATAGGGTATTCAAGCCTAGAAAGAAACCTGATAATTTCACCTTTTCGAAGATGCTTAAGATGTTACGTCGAATTTTGAGACAATATATCTTTATAAAATAAACAAAAGTAATATATTTGCAATATCATAATGAGTAGAAAAATGAGATTTTCTGATGTTTCATGACTCATTGTAGGTCACTTCTTGAGAGAACAAATAACCAAATTAAATTAGCCCAAGTTTAAAAAGTACAACGGAACAAGAATACAAATTTTGTGAGATAGTACCATTTCGTGATTTCTCGTCAGTCACATACAAGCAACATGTTATTCGTGTAAATACAGTTTTGAAGATAAGGTCAAAATTTCTTATTTAGCATGACATTCGACGTGATCCTAATGTTATTCTTCACTCACTAGAACCTTATCTTCAAAACTGTATTTACACGAATAACATGTTGCTTGTATGTGACTGACGAGAAAGCACGAAATGGTACTATCTCACAAAATTTGTCTTCTCATTTCTCTGTTCAAATTTATCAAAGGGAACCAATGTTTTGGAACAAGAATAGTACATGTGATCAATCAAAAACAGGTCTGACCGAGTCAATGTCATGCCATTCCGGTCAAGGTGATTCATATGAGACATGTTTGTATATTTTTATGTGTATGAATGATAAGGGGTGAAAAATATGACATTCGTGGTGAGAAAGGATGGTTTAACTTGTATGTAAGATAATAGTGTGAAATGTGAATAGAATCAGACATAGTAGCTTGGATAGATAGTCGAAATCGGATGGATAGTGAGGCCTTCTTTTTCTATTGAGAGCAGTAAGATTAAGCATTATATGGAAAGCTTCAGCTACTCGTCATTTGACCTTTTTGATATCGATTTGATGGTTAGCAGAGATGGATAGTGGCTAGCGGTGGAATCCAGGACGCGCGTTTCGTCCTATTTGGGACCCGTCAGCTGGATGCACCTGCATCTCAGAGTTGATGTTCACTCTGGGACTCGAACTGAGTACCATCGCTTCAAACGCCATCGCGTTATCCACTCGGCCACTGCTTGTGAATTAAGGCTATATCGAGGCAATACGCACAGTATGCACATATGCCAATTAGAGACTGACCAGTTGCAGTCCTAACATATCGATGGGAAGATTCAAACAAACAATACTAAGTGGATTTGATGGTTGTTGAAAATGGCATGAACTGCTATAAAGTTCCCGAGCAATCTGCTACATATGCCCAACCACCATTTACACTGACAAGCGGTGTTAGGTGGGTTAGGAGTAGATTCTAAGAAATTTAGGAACAGTCAAACGAAGATATGTAACCAATCGATGAAATCATCAAGTGTTTGCATATATAGTTTATCAGATTTGGTTCCTCGTAATAACTGGAATCAGCTGTTGGAGGCGGTGACTCAGAATCAATGACAGTTTTATAGATACATTCATTCACTATAAATCTTAAGCTTACTTGTCCCTTTTAAATGGCTTCTGTTAATTCATTTATTTCGAACTATATTCTGAGTTTGTGAATATCAATCCTAAGGTTCAAGTTTATAGCTTCAAATAAATTGAGCATTCTTGGTAGAAGGTTAACAGTTAATATATTTTTGTGATATCTCAATGATCAGAAGGGGTTTTGGGGAGATTTCAGTATTTTCATAGTTGAAATCATGAGTCGATTGAAGCTAAGCCACCATGGAAAACCTGGAAGCACTAGACGGTCTTTTCGTTATATTATGGGACTCCTCAGCAGTGCGCATCCACGATCCCACGACTCATGATTTCAACTATGAAAATATCTTAATGAGTAGAAAAGTGTATTGCTGACGTTTAGTGACTTAATGTAAGTCACTTCTATAGTAGAGTAAACAAATAAATAACCGAAATAAAATCAAGGCCTGACTATTTATCCAACCTGAACTGTTTTTCTAACTAACCACATTTGACCCTATTGATTTACTACACAATCTGCACACACACACACACACACACATGAATCCAATTTTAACTCTACTATTTCAAACAATTTTCATACCCACCATTTGACGCATAATTTAATACGGTTATATGTCTTATGGAATCACCTTGACCAGAAATAACACGACATTGACATGTTCAGACCTATTATGTTTTTGATTGTATTAAACATATTCTTCATTGATTCATTTGCACTATGTAAACTTTTGTTGATTTTATTTCATTATCAGAAGGGGGTTTTGTAAAGATTTTATTAATTTTATATAGCTGAGATCATGAGTCAATTGAATCTAGACTACCATGGAAAACCCGGTAGCAATGGACGGCCGTTTCGTCCTACTGTGAGACTCCTCAGTAGTGCGCATCCACCATCCCACCTCTCGAGATTCGAACCTGGGATCTATTAATCTCGCACGCGAGCACTTAACCGATAGACCACTGGACCGGCTAGCATCCAACGGTGTTATTTCAGTTATTTATTTACTTACTCTATAGAAGTGACTTTCATTAAGTCAATGAACGTCAGAAATACAATTTTGTGTATATCAGTATAGTAAGTATGTATCAAGATGGAATGAAATAAAAGGTCGTGTTGTACCTTGTACTAGACCGATTGAGGAAGAAACCTACCAATTGCTAAATTCTCAGACGTCATTCAGTTATAGTGGTAAAGTTGCTATACGACTACCTTGAGTAACGTATCAGCCAATCAGGAAACACTGCTTAGTTACACAGAATTAATAATAAATAGCAGTAAAATCACAGTGGGGTAATAGTTTTGAGATGATTAATTAACGCAAACATGTTTAATTATTCATTATAGTAAACGAGAGAGGTCAAACTCACACATTGTGAGTTGAACTACTGTTTCGAGTTGGGGTTGAAACTCCATAGAGTTTCCGTTACCAGCTGACATCAGGTATAATCCATAACGGTTTGGGTAATAGGAATTAAGTTAAAGATGTGAGTTAGCATTATGAAGTAGTGTGGTGAGGCTATAATTTATGGACATTCTTTAAGCAATACTAACGTAACATCGAGAAACCTCAACCCCTTACGAGGATCAAGGGACAGTTATAAATTAGTGTGGGGAATAAGGGTTAGGATCTGGAGTTAGTAGTTAGGGTTATAAATCAGAGTCAGTGTTTTCATCACAGACTGACATCATCTGTAATAGGATGATAGGCAAAACTATAAACCATGAACGAGCTAATCAGATTTAGAATAGTATTGGATTTTGGCGCGAAATCCATTCATCCATATGGCTATATATCATTTTATCGTTATAGTTAGTATAAATCCTTATCCTAATTCCTCATATTAGACGATAACCCTGTTTTAACCCTAGTAAGTAGGTGGAGATTCTCAAGGTCACCCAGGCATCTCTCGAGTGTCATTCATAAATTAAAGTTGTATCCATAACTAAAAAGTTAAAAATCCCTGATATTGTTTGGTTCTTTTTGAGGTTAACATTACTATAGTTTTATGATGAAAACCATTAGCTTATTAAATTTTACCAGTATAATCACTTAACCATTTCAAACAGACAAAATCGTTTACACATGTATGTGTATCATACTATACAAACATGATTGGTTTCGCCTGTTACTCCCAATGGGGCATAGGCTGCCGACCATCATTCTCCAACCCATTCTGTCATGGGCTTTCCTTTCTAGTTCTATCCATTTTTGTTCATTCTTCTCATGTCTGTCTCCATTTCTAAGCGTAATGTGTCATTTGGTCTTCCTCTTCTCCTTTGGCCTTCAGGATTCCATGTGAGGGCTTGCCTCGTGACGCAGTTGGGTGCTTTCCTCAAAGTGTGTCCTATCCACTTCCAGCGCTTCTTCCTGACTTTTTTCTCCATTGGATGGAATCTGGTTCGTTCTCTCCCACAGTAGAATGTTGCTGATAGTGTCTGATCATCGGATCCGAAGTATCTTGCGTAGACAACTGTTAATAAACACCTATATCTTCTAGATGATGGCTTTCGTAGTTCTTCACATCTCCGTCCAATACAGTAGAACTGTCTTGACATTTTTATTGAAAATTCTGATCTTGGTATTGATTGACAATTATTTTGAGTTCCAGATGTTCTTCAGTTGTAAATATACTGCTCTTGCTCTGCTAATATGCATCTTCACATCTGCATCAGATCCATCGTGTTCATCAATGATTCACTATACAAATATATTATTAATTATAAAGAGAACATTTGAAATATATCGTAATCACATAATACTAGTATACTTACTTTCATTTACTGGACATGGATTAATACAATTTTCTCGACATACACCAGTTTTACTAAGTGGACAACTTAAAAGTATTAAACTTTCAACTGTATTACGACTTTTAGCATCGCAACGAAGACGTATTTGATTATCATTACTTATTAATTGTGTTAATTCAATATGATCATTATCGATATTTGATAATTGATATGAAGTACTTGTGCATAATAATCTCATAAATATCCATATAAGATAGAATAATGTTATCATAGAACGAAGCATACATATGCCATTCAATATATATTCAAACCTATAAAAAAGATGAGTAAATGTTAAAACATATATTTATTAAAGGGTGAAATATTCATTTATATGTTTTACTGTAAATAATTGAACTCATACCAGTAAGTTATGTATAAGAATGTCGAACCCAAATCCCCTGAGTTCGCTCTCCCTCTCCAAATGCTCTCATATGACCACAAGTATATAGCCTCTGACAGGGAAGTCCTACTCACTGCCTTCTCGTGGCGGGGGTCTTGTTTACAAAATCGAGAGGACGAATAGAGAATGTCCGACGCTTTAACCGAGTTGATGGACACGGCGCGTCCACCTAGAGGAGTTGGAAAACTCTGATTCCAAATCAATGGTGTACATGGAATCCAGTATCCTGAGGGAACGAATGGTGTATGAATCAATCATTGGTCACTGGCTACCATCGTAATGAATCTCCTCACGATGCTCCACTGCCTTGTGGATTAAACCATTAGGTCAAAGGCTCCGAGTGTGGTTCACTAAAAAATTCATCTGCTTCAGTTTGAGCACCTGGGTAGTATCACAGCCCTCACACAAATCAAATGAGATTTGTGTGGCGCCTATATATATTTGGTGCTCTCTTGTACCAATAATGATGTGTTTAAATAAATAAATAGTATAACAATGCTTGTAATCATAAATTTATAGTAAGAATAGGACTATAGAACAAGAATATAACATGTAGTTGATTATCATTATGGGGTTATGAAGATTGTTGATTTGTTGATTAAGATCATTAATCGATCGGTTGAAGTTAGACATTAACACTGTTGGATGCCGGCTGGCTCAGTGAAAGAATTATTATCGGTAAGTTTTTGTTCAAAAATGTACGTTAATAATAACAAATTATAGATCTATGCACAAAGTATATGATTTAGTAAGATTGGATTATGGCTAATGGTTTAGAAACTTGGAGTGTTCTCTCATTTGAAGCTTACGGTAAATATGCATATGCAAATCTGTCCATAGTGACTGAACAATTATAGTACTTAACATCAACAATGGGAGAATTAAAAACTTATACAAATAAAATTGGTTGTTATTATCAAAAGGGTTTTGTGGATATTTTAGTAATTTTGATAGTTGAGATCATGAATCAATTCAAGCTAGACCACCATGGAAAGCCTGGAAACACTGGACGATCGCTTTGTCCTATTATGGGACTCCTCAGCAGTGCGCATCCACGATCTCGCACTCGCGAGATTCACGCCAGAGCCCTTAACCGATAGACCACTGAGCCGGCATCCAACTGGTAGGTCCTGGGTTCGAATCTCGCGAGTGCGGGATCGTGGATGAGTACTGCTAAGGAGTTACATAATAGTACGAAACGGCCATCCAGTGCTTCCAAGTTTTCCATGCTTTTCTAGCTTCAATTTACTCATGATTTCAACTTTAACAAAATTATCCCTCCATTTTTACTTTTCACAGACTACAAAAATAAAATGCTGATACACCATTAAGAAAAACAAACAAACGGTACCATAGAATTTCAATTTGTTTTTGATTGAATGTGAAAAAAAAACGCACTTGGTAACATTTTTCTTCTGTCTGACCTATTTTAGGCTTGGTGACAAACTGTCATATAAAGATATGATGATGACATTATACACTATTGTATGGTCCTAAAGATTGAGATTGTAGCAAAGTATTGAAAAAAACAGAGTTTATTGTTTTTGTCTTTAGTTCATGATCAACACAAATCTATTTTGTCTAGTAAACAATGATAATATCAAGGGTAAATGTTTACGTGAATTGTTGTGATGGAAACAAAACAGAATCTTTCGAATTACCTATATGATGTGTATAAGAGAAAGAAGACAATGAATGTATTTCAGTAGTATTTCAATAAAAAGGAATAAATGTTGTGCTATATCTAAAGCTTCAGATTCTTGTTATGCCATTTGTTACTAGACTACTTGAACTATAGAACCCGCAACGTAGCAAGAGGGAAGACAGAAGACTAGTAAGTAGAAATCTTATTCTAAAAGTAAATCATCATTTCGGATAGCCAATAGGCACATAGGGGGTCATTCTTATTCATCCAATAGGGAAGCTAAACGTCTAGAATATTCCCCTAGTGGTGGTCGGATCGAATGTCTTCGGCTCTTTCTGGGCTTCTTGAGGTTTCCTAGAGTGTGCCAACTAGCCATCCTTACAGTTGTGATAGGATATTATAGGAATTTATAAATTTTGATAAATTCTCTTTTCCTGTTTAGAAAGTTTTGTTGTCAGTATCAGGAAAGGTTTTCAACGGAGTGTTGCTGAACTGGATGAAAGACGAAGTAGACTCCGAATTTCGAGATCAATAGGTTGAATTCCTTAAGGATCGGTCATGCACAGACCAAACTGCAACAATATGGATCATCGTCGAACAATCAGTTGAATGGAACTCGTCACTATACATCATTTTCATTCACTATGAGATGGCGTTGGACAATGTGGACAGGAGAACATTATTGAAAATTCTTCGATACTATGGAGTTTATTCAGAAGATTGTCAACATTATCCAGAACTCATACGATGGACTACAGTGCAAAGTGGTGCAGCTTCCAGCTGATAAAGAAATTATGAAAAAACGTTGGAAGTGGATATGATTTACATTGAGGAAATCACCAAACTGCATCACAAGGCAATCCCTAACTTGGAATCCGGAAGGGAAGCAGAAAAGGCCAAAGAACATATTAGATCGGGAAATAGAAGCAGATATGAAAGGGATGAATATTAACTGTAAAGAACTGGAAAGGATTGCTTGGGACAAGGTTGGATGGAGAATGGTTGTGGTCGGCCTATATTCCTCCACGATGGGTAGCAGGCAAAAGTAAGTAAGTAAGTAATTGTTTGCAATGTAAAATAGTGATATCGCTTATCAAAATCAATGAATGTAAATTAATTTTAATCGTTGAGATCATGAGTCGATTGAAGTTAGACCACCATGGAAAACCCGGAAGCACTGTACTGCCGTTTCGTCTTATTGTGGGACTCCTCAGCGGTGAGTATTCATGATTCCGAATGGAGAGATTAGAACCCAGGGCCTATCAGTCGCGCGCGTGAACGTTTTACCTCTAAAACACTGTGCCGGCATCCAAAGGCGTTAATGTCTAACTTAAACCGATCCACGATTGTATTCACTGTATATTCTCAGTCAAGATGATGATCAATCAAAATGTTATGAAGTTGAACTTAGGAATGTAAACCATTAAATATTAACTCAATAGTTTAAACTATAACAGCTTGTCTCAAGGCTCGAAGGTATTAACTTTCATTGCATGTTGGCCAGTGGATTAGAACTGTTAAATAATTCATTACTATGACAAAACAACTGTTCCGTGCTTCCTAGTTGGTTGTGTGACTAAGAATACCTCGTGATATAAACTATAAAATGTAGGGAAATTTTTAGGGATCATTCATAAAGCTGTTCATTAACTATATGGACAATATTAAACACAAAACTTAAGAAATACATGAATGCAGGAGGTTTTTATCAATGTATTAGGGGTTATATATGGTTCGTCAAAAAAATATTGCTGAAAATAAGAAGGATCTCAAGAATACTGACTAATTAATGTTATTCAAAAACTTCCAAAACATTAACACCGTTGGATGCCGGCTCAGTGGTCTATCGGTTAAGGGCTCTGGCTCATAACTGGTAGGGCCTGGGTTCGAATCTCGCGAGTACGGGGTCGTGGGTGCGCACTGCTTAGGAGTCCCATAATAGGACGAAACAGCCGTCCAGTGCTTCCAGGTTTTCGATGGTGGTCTAGCTTCAATTGACTCATGATTTCAACTTTGAAATATACTGAAATCTCCACAAATCCCCTTCTGATTACACATAGAATCCGATTTATCATGTTTATTTGATTCTAACTGAGCGATTATGAAATTCACCACTAATTTTATTAATTTTTCCTGGTTAATCGTCAGTCAGTCACAACGTAGAACTTAATACGTACTTGAATCAGTTCGAGTTGCCATGCCATATTAACACAGAGATGAAGTTGACGATTCAAATCCCATAATGGTAGAAGTAGTAAGAGTATAAGTAGTAATCCGAAAGATTAAGGTTTGAAGATGTTATTCAAGGTGCACAATCCAATGAAATAAATTTGGAAAGAGAAAAAGGATAGGGACATGAAGGATTCGGAAGATTATAATTTTGGAGAACACAAAAATTGGATGCACCTTCACCATTGCAAACGGTTTTGAGCCATGTCATTCAAGGTCTCTAACCATCGGTTGCTATCATCTCGCGAATCCCAACCAGATAGTCTACACCTACTAACATGGCTCAGTCCACTTGTCAGTGACTTGTAGCGGTGATTTCAAAAAAATCAACATTTTTAAAAATACTCTAGTTTTTTTAAATATACCTCCCATATGACCTACCTTCTATTCTTTATTGCAGATTTCTAAAAACCAGAAAGCTAATATCAAAAACTATCAGAGTAATAGATGTACTGAACTATCAAAATGTTACTTACTACTACTTACTACTAACGCCTGTTACCCCTCGTGGGGGATCAAAATGTTACCATAATTAATACACTATTGCCTGAGAAAATAAGCAAGTTTGATATTGCATAAACTGTGATTCTTATTTTTCCTTTCTAAAAACTAATCTTCATATAACTATTCATGCTTTCCTTCTAGAATATTTCTATAATTAGCTTGAAAAAGATCAACCTAACAATGACTGGCTCCATGAGGTATTTCCTGCAGTTCTAGTGAGAAGCTGTAACCAGTCGAGTTCAACCAGGTCTGTTGGGAGATATCAACTCACTGAAGACATTAGTGAAATGGTTACTCAACTTCGTGGATCAATTGAAGTTAACATTATCGGATGCCGACTCAGTGGTCTGTCGGTTTAGTGCTCTGGCGCGAGATTGGTAGGTCCTGGGATCGAATCTCGCTAGTTGCGGGATCGTGGATGTGCACTGATGAGGAGTCCCACAATAGGATGAAACGGTCGTCCAGTGTTTCCAGGTTTTCCATGATGGTCT